CTAGATAGACTTAAGTCAAATGTGGCCACACCAGTCTCGCTAAGGTCCTTGAAGGCTTCCTGTCTCTGTGGATAATCTGCACATGTTTAGCTTATTTCAGTACCTTGAAAAGCATGGCTTGCTGATTTCTGTTGATCAAGTTGCTTTTTAAAGGCAGAAGAACAATCAATCATTTGTTATTATTACTATTTCCCCAGTGACCTGCCAAACACACATATATTAATTCCAACCCCGCTTTATATTCCTAGCTAGAATTTTCTGCTGTAAATGCCTTGAATTTGAAACCCAGTAGTGCCCTCCAGTGATCCTAGTGGGAACTGTCTCTGCATGTGTGATGATGACTGACCGACTGACCATCAGGCGACAACTCACCATCAGCCTTGGGGTGTCCCAGGACTTTCATGATCTCGGCATTGGTGGGGTTCTGGCCCAGAGCTCTCATCACATCTCCACATTGGCTCAGCTGGATTTTGCCATCGCCGACCCGATCAAAGAGCCCAAAGGCCTCCTTGTAATCTAGGGAGATCAGATTTAACTTTTAATGTAGTTCTTGTGCAATGAGGTCTTGGAACTAGAGAGAGACCCCATAGGGGGCCAAGAGGTTTTCTGGGGATAAAGTGTTGAGCATGTCTTTGCCAGCTGTCAACAAGATGATTCACATAATCCCAAGAAACTGGACACCGCCATCTGCAAGTTCTGTTTAACCTGCCCGGCTTCTATCAATCATCACAGTCAGTATAAAGGGCAGGAGGGAGAGAGAGAGCTTCCTACCAAAGGGCAATTCCTGTCTGGGGCAGCCCTAAAGAGAAAACAATGACATGTTTGAAGGGTCTGACTATTGTTGCTCTAAATGGAAGAGGGATCTCAGTCACCCTTCAAAAGAGACACCATCTTGCTCTTTGAATGGTTTCAGTTGCAGGATAATGAATTTATTTTTAATCTCGTAGTAACCCTGGATGATATACAGGCTTTGCTAATCCCACCCAGAGAGATACATCTCTCACATTAGATGCCTGTTCCTTCAGCTTGCTTCAGAAGGTTTTAATTATATATGTATATTTAATGTATATACCATCTTTCAACGTAAAAGGTGATCAAGGCAGATAACAATAAAATTAAAAACAAAATGTAATTAAATAGTATCATAAAAACAAAGAAGTTAAAAACACAACTGAAAGGAGAGCAAGAAAAGATATAGCCAGCACCCAACCAGATAGATACGGTTCTGTCATAGACAGAGGCCTACCTAAAAATAATAATGACAATTAAAAGCACAACATAATGGAATCAAGAGTTTACTGATTGTCTCTTTTAACTTAAACCTGTTTTCATATCTTTTAAGTCTCATTGCTCTCAGCCAAGAAATCTGAGTAAACCCTAGTCTGCTTTAATGCTTCTCTGCCAGAAAAAAAATTAATAGATATAATAGTTTTTTAAAATAATTATGTGTAGAGACCATTAACAGGTTACAGTAAATCCAGTTTCAAATCTATTTAAATCTGTGGTGATGAGGTATTTTAAGAGAAAATTCTAAGCAACTCTAGAAAACTTTTTTTAAAGGGAAGCTATGGTGTTTAGACTCATTTTAGATTATAATACAGAGTATACTCGCAGGGTGAAGCCTTTTGCTGAAGTGCACTCTTTATTTTCGAGAATTGACAGATTCCAGAGTAGTAGATTTGTTAAATCTGTTATAGCAAACACAAAAAGAGTGCTGTGATACCTTAAAAATTAACAGATAACAAACTCTCCAGTACTCTTTTTTCCTACATCATGTATATAAGTTTGGTCTTTAAGCACCTCTCCATACATTTTTATGGTTATTGTCCAGACAGAGGCTCTGTCTGAGGTCCTGCATAAACTTTAAAGCAATTTCTCATAGCTAATCTGCATTTAGGTACTGGAAGCAGAATGCAAAATACTAACATATCACAAATGTATAGAAAGATTTCCAGTTAGATGAATAAAAATGGCACTGGCACATTTTCCTTTCAAGACACTAATAGCAACTAGAAAAGGAGAAGCTGCTGAATTTTGAGAGAAGAGGCTAGGGATGCCAGGAGGAAAGCTGGAGAAGACTCCTGTACCTTCCTTAAGGGTTGTATAGAAGAGGGAATTTCAGCAGGTGCTACTTGTCACACAACCAACCTGCTGTTGTTCTTGTTGTTGTGCACCTTCAGGTTGTTTCCAACTAATGGCAACCCGATAATGGGAGGGTTTGCCAGTGTCGTCTTCTGAGAGTGAGAGTGTGTGACTACCTCTTCTATACAGCCATAAAAGGGAGAGAAGACATCTCCAGTTTTCAGTCTGGCAACACTACTCCAAGCCCTGCACTGGTTGACAGGCATGGTGCTGAAAGGGAAAAAACACAGCTTGCTTCTCATTCTTCCCCAGTAAACAAATAAAAAGGCCTGGGACCAGGCTGTTAGGACGTTTTCACACTGTCCTCCTAAAGCCGGGTGGAGCCATTCCGGAACGGATCGTGCCGCCAATTCCGGAATGGTTCCGCCACCGAAAGGCTAATTCCTGTTGGACAGCCGGAATTACCTTTATGCCGCTTCAGCCGGAGTTATCGTTGGTTCGTCCGGAGTGACGCCGGACTTAGGGCTCCGTGTGTTTGAACACACAGAGCGAAAAGCCGGCCGGACGCAGGGATGACACCGGAAGGGGAGGGGTTTGCTGCCGCGTGTGTGTGAACACACGGGAAATGGAGCCAGAGTGAGGCCAGCGGGAGGCCGGCTAGCGTCCTACTTTTGCCCTGTGTGAAAACGTCCTAAGTCTCACTTGGAAGTTGCAGGGCTATGTTCACACATGAAGCTTTCTCTGCTACCATCCACTGTGGACGTTTTCACACGTGGCTTTAGGTGGACGCTATCCTACCTCCATCCGGCCCCAGTCCGGCTCCTTTGCAAAGTTTTTCACACGACGTCGCAGCAAGCCCCGCCCCATCCAGTGCCATCCCCGGCGCTAGCCGGCGTCAGTCCGGGGTCTTGCTCCGTGTGTTCACACGACGTCACAGCAAGCCCCGCCCCATCTAGCGCTAACTCCGGCATCAGCGCCAGAGTTGTAATTCCTTTTTTAAAAAGGAATTAAGTTGCCGCCGCCGGAGCCATTCCGGAATGAGCTGAAGGATCCGTTCCGGAATGGCTCCAGGCGGCTTTGGACATCTGTGTGTGAAAACGCCCTGTATCTTCTCATCTATTTGTTTAATTTCTTTGCCACCATCCTTAGAACAGCTCACATGTATGCCCAAAGTGGGGGAGCTCTTTTTGGAACTGATTCCCAGACACCTTAATCTAACCTGCCCATATTTTTTATTTTCATTATTTGTACTCAAGTCCAACTACAGATGAAGAAGTTGTCTTGAACAACCTTGGCTTCCAAATTTGCAAACAGCTTTATCTATTAACATCAACCATAAATTCACACTTGTTTCACTTTCTTGTATAGATATTTTCCCCAAACAGGCAAATCTAGTAGCTGGCCCTTGAACAAGACACTGTTTAATGTTGTGAATGTCTGTTTGTAGTAGCTGACTTCAGGGGGCCAGATGCAAAGAGTGAGAGAACTGACCTGTAGTCCACCAAGGCATGTGCCAGATAAAACCCATCTATCTTCAAGGTGCCACAAGGGTTGTTTTTGCCTCAGTGGACTAAAAGCAAGACTGATTTCTTGTGCGTATTTAATCACTGAACACCATCTTTCTCTCTTGCATCTCTGGCTGCATCTACACTGCAAAATCAATGCAGTTTGGCACTGCTTTGTCTGCCAGGTCTCTATCCTAATGAATCCTAGGACTTGCTGTTTGTTGTGGCACCAGTGCTCTTGAGCCATAGCAGTTAAAGCAGTGTCAAACTGCATTAATTTGGCAGTATAGATGCAGCCTCAGATCAGTTTGCCCCTGCCCCCAGTATGGCTTTTCTCTACACAGCTATAACAGGTACAAAAATCTGACCTCCTCTGCTTCAAGTTTTCAACCATGCTTCCTTTTTTCAATAACAGTAGTCAATAAAATGGAGTACTGTAGTTGGAACTGCAGAAACATGTAGAGTAGTGACATCACATCATGCTTTTTGTAGTAGTAGATATTATGGGGGAGAACAGTGTAGCATTGTTGGGCTCTGGCTCTGGAGACCAGGGTTTGAATCCATGCTGAGCCATGAAACCCACAGGGTGACCTTTAGCAAGTCACATTCTCTCAGCCTCATAGGCTGGCAATGGCAAATATCTGAAGAAACTTGCCAAGAAAACCCTGTGATAGGTTCATTTTAGGGTTGCCATAAGTTGGAAAAAACTTGAAGGCACACAACAACAAAATATGATGGGAAATGAGAGGAGGAGGTGATATGGGGCTACTGCTGGTGACAGCAGCTCCAATAAAATCTATTTCTGACCTTAGAGACCAACAATTTATAGAACATAAAAACAAAAATAACAAACATCAGGATGCACACAAATAGTTGCTTTGTTATCAAGCGAAAGTTACCCTCCAGGTTATGCTGAAGTTCACTCACTTACATGCCCATTCATGGGCTTGTGCATATATGCACAGGTGTACACGGATGCTTCCAGATAGAGGGCTCCTGGAATTCTGGGATTTGTAGTTTGGTGAGGTTTTAGCCTGGTCTGTCAGAGAACTCAGGTGTCTCACCCAACTACAAATTCCAGGATTCTGTAAGAAAGAGTCATGGCCGTCAAAATGGTGTCATACTGCTTTATTTCTGCTGTGTGGATACATCCCTAGCAATCCAAATGCACTGAACTGATATTCTGCCTTTTCTTCTTTAACAGATTTTTTTAGGAAAGAAAAAAGCTAGAAAAGGTGGGAAAATACAAAACGTTTACAAACTTAAAGATGATGATAGCAGGACATCTTGTAAAAGTATGTAATTGTGGCAGGATTAAATGATAAAAGCCTTGCCTAGAAGCATTCCTTGTGTCTCAGGAATGATAGAAGCAGCCTGACATGTTCCATTCATGACTGGTAGCATCTGAAAAGAGGTAGCATGGTGTAGTGGTTTGAGTGATAGACTGGAATTCTAGAAGACTCGGGTTCAAATCCCTGCCCAGCCATAGAAACCCACTGAATGATCTTGGGCAAGTCACACTCTCCACTCTCTCTTAACCTTGAAGGAAGACAATGGCAAAACTCCTCTGAAAAAATCTTGCCAAGAAAACCTTGTGATAGGGTTGCCACAGGTCAAAGTCAACTTGAAGGCACATAATAGTAACAGGTAGTAACTGACTTACCCTCCAACTGCTCCTTAGTAAATTCAATCTGGAAAGAAGAAAGAAAAGTGATTGAAGATCATGCCAGTCACAGGAAATAGATGACATTTGTCCAAGCTGGAGAGGCAGAGTTGGTCACAATCCTGGTTAAGACCAAGTTGTTGCTGGAATGCTAATTTTATTTTCTGAGAACAAACCATAAACTTTTTCTGGCACAAATGAATGAGTATGTTAGACGTTAAGCCTCTAGAAGACAAGCCAAAGGTTGAATGGGAAGTAGATTGTATGCATTTTGTTATATAGTACTTGACATTTGGCCATTTAAACTTAACAATTATGCGAAGAATGGATAACTTTTGTCTTGCACTAAGAGTCATACCGAAAACTTTGTCACTTTTCAAAATATACTTAACTATTCATCAGAGCTAGGAACTGTTCTGCCTTAAAAAAATTCTTAGGACATGAATTGGCTTCCACAGGTCAAATGAAATATGGTGTAATACTAGAAGGTATCCACTAAATTACATTAACCCAGAAACATCACCACCATCACTGCTACTACTGCCATCACCTGTTTACAGTCCTAACCTGCTTATGAATGAATAACTATTGATTTCTTTCTTCTGTCTCTCACTCCAAACAGCCTTGTGTGGCCATCCACATAGACCCAGCGTATCTCCCCAAGGTTGCATAGGACATCCATGACCATTTGGGAGTCTGGATCCAGTGACCATAAAGTGCTCTGATGGCCCTTGCCTGGGATGGAGATTCTGAAGTGCAATGCAAAAGACCAGCTGGGTCCAAAATACACTACGTTGGGTCTCTTAACTATTATCTAGTTCTTGTAGCAGCAGTTTGGACAGTGGGAACAAGAGTACCATTAAGTTGGTACTCAATATGCATTTCCCTTTGTGGTTGCTGCTACAAAAGCTTCCTATTTCCTCAAGGAGCTCTGACTTCCTTCACCACCATCACTACAACCACTAGAGAAAGAGGAAAACAAGGGTTGTGAAAGGGTATGGTGTGTGTATTTAAGAATCTGGTTTAGCACTTTTGCCTCAAAAGTGATAGAAAGGGCTGGGCCTTTCAAATCCAACTGGGCTACCATGGCATACCGTCCAACATTTCATAGATGAGAACTGGGCACGTGTGGCCAAGCAACACCAGAGTGTGGTCAAGATGGCAAAAATGTTTGATATGGAAGAACACACAAGCTAGCAGAAGCTGCAGCTGTTTCCTTTTGCCTGAGCCTACTGGGAAGGATAGATTCCCCCCCCTTCCCCTTGCTGAGCTAACTGAGTACAAAATTTTTTTTCACTTTGAACTCAGTTTGCAGTAACTGAAGTAAGTATTATCAGGGGGAAAACTGAGATATCAGCCCCAATACATTAACCCCAAGTTGAAATATTGACTATGGGTTGGAGCCTGAAATCTGTGTGGAAAGATCATTATCTTTGGTCAAAGAGGTCCCCTTCCCTCCCAGAACGATCAGCCTTGCCACCTCTCTCAGGAGCAAACAAGAATAGTCAGCTGCTCTTAAAATGTCCCAGTTTCTCTCCACCTCCCTCCTTCGTCTTTGTCTTCAGGACAAACAAATGCTGACACAACTTTATAGGCTCACATGGTGACAATACAGAAGGCTGTAAACCCACATGTACAAAAGAAGAGTCCCCATGATCTCACCAGCTAAAAGTATCAGTCTAGAATTAGTTTCTGACAATTGTCAGTGGGGTATTCACTTCAAGTTCACTTTACCAGCATTTGTTTGTCCTGAAGACAAAGGGGAAAGAGGGAGGTGGTAAGAAATTGGGACATTTTAAAAGTAGCTGACAAAGTGGGATGACAGAGGATTCATTGGGACTGTTGCTGCTGAATCTGGGCAGTCAGTGTTTATGGCATGCCCCCCCCCCCAACAATATTGATCTGAATAAAATGATTTTTCTCATTTTACTATGTTACTGCCATGACAAAATTACTACAGTATGTTCTGGGTTGTTTTTGTGTGTGTGTGTGTTGCAGTATGTATTGGTTGAAATAAAATTTGTTGTTGTTGGTGTATTGGTTGAGAAACTGTTGTGATGCGTTTTGGTTAGTCAATACTATTACTTTATTATTGTGTATTTGGAACATGAACTACACCATTTTTGTTTGCTTTGTGTTGTACTAGGGGTAGTATTGAGAGCCAGCATGGTGTAATGGTTTGAGTATAGGAGTAGGACTGTGGTGATCAGGGTTTCCCCGCTTGACCACGGAAACCCGTTGGGTGACCTTGGGTGAGTCACACACTCTCAGAAAAACCCTGTGATAGGTTTACCTTAGTGTCAGCATAAGTCATAAATGACTTGAAGGTAAACAACAACAACAGCAACAACAGGGGTAGTAGAAATGCACCCTGTCACTTACAAGAATCAACAACAGTTCATCATGAATTAGTCAAAAACTCATCCCTGGCATTCTTAAAGAGTTCCAGGTAGTTCAACTGGGCCAGCTTACTGTTAGGGCTGTGCAGCATATTCGTCTGTGAAGAAAGGGAAGCAAAGTGTTCTTTAATTTATTATTGCTTTATTTTTACTGCCAGGGTGGGATCTTCCTCAAATGCTGAATAATGTGGAATACCTGTATCTGGGCACCACGATTCAAGAGGGATGTTGACAAAATGGAACATGTCTAGAGGAGGGCAACCAAAATGGTGAAAGGTCTGGAAGCCATGCCCTATAATGAACAGCTCAGGGAGCTGGGAATGTTTAGCCTGATGAAAATAAGGTTAGGAGGGGACAGGATAGTCATGTTTAAATATTTGAAGGGATGTCATATCAAAGAGGGAACAGGCTTGTTTTCCACTGCTCCAAGGACAAGGAGCAATGGATTCAAACTACAGGAAAAGAGATTCCACATAAATCTTGGGAGGAACTTCTTGATGGTCAGAGCTGTTCGACAGTGGAATATGCTTCCTCGGAGTGTAGTGGAGTCTCCTTCTTTGGAGGTTTTTAAACAG